CTTAATGATTCTATGATTCTATGAGATACCTGTCTTACATTAAACACTTCCTCCAATTAACGCTTTGGCCAGTTTCATAAATTATTTCTGCTCAAGAGAAGCTTCACTAAATTCAATGAAAGGGAAAGCATCCTCATATTAAACAATTTTTTTTTTTAATGGGTTGTGCATTGATTATACCATGGCAGCAGAGCTTTATCGGTGAGCTCTGTAATAACCCAGCAAAGTTTCTTATCTCAAGCACACAGTCCAAGCGAATACATCTGCATTGATTGCAGGGTCAGTGTGATTTCAAGAGCAGTTTAGCCACTTCTGTAGTATGTGCAATCCAAACTGATGAACCATCAGATCCCAAATTAGCTTCCCAAGTAACCTGATCTGACAGCCTTGTTGTGTGTTTCCAGAACTGGGAATGCTATGTTGTAAGAAGTTAAACTACATCCAGTAAGACCTACTGGCTATGTCTGTACTTGTAAATTAAAGAATGTCAGCACTTGGGACAACTTGATCATCTAAATGACCCATGGAACAATTTTTGTTGCAGGCCAGGTAGCACTCTTCCAAGCAATGCCCAGGCGTGATTTGGGTGTTGGCATGGTCCCCAAGCTGTTTGCATGCAGCAGCTGTGCTTTGCAGGCTAACAGGATTTCGTTTTGTAATGTAGCCAGACCAAACCAGAAAGTCTTGGCACTCTACACATGCAGTGACTCCAGCTCAGTTTGGACCTTGCCAGACATGAGATGACTCCATTCAGCCATTGCTTCGGCACCATGCTCTGAAACAGGGTATGTTAGCACAGAGGCAGTACTGAATGTGGGACTGCATCTCTCTTGCTGAAGTCCTGTGCCCAGACTAAAAAGTCCTCAGAGTTTGGTACAGGAACAATCTATTGGCTCTCAATAGCCAGACCGAATTTGGCAGGGTCAACAATGAGCTAGTGCTAACAAGACCACCTGTAACCAAGCTGGGGTACAGCTGGGCCTCTCTGCACTGTTCTCTGCAGCATCTCTGGTAGCAACTTTATTAGCTCATTCACAACGCAAGATCCAAGTGGTCTCTGTGCATGCGCTGGTGTTAGTCTTGTTCTTACAGGCTTGCCTACTACCCAGAGCACCAGTGGCTACATTGAAATACCGTAGTGGCTTTAAGGGAACCAGCCCTGTTCCACCAGGTTCAGCGCTGAAATATATTTAGCAGCAGTTCTGGACACTTGATGCCTTTGACATGTCAATCAAATAGATTAAGCTAAAATAGAAACAGACTGTGAGTATTTATGTGGATGTGTATTTGTATATACATATATATAAATTTATACAGCCCATATCTATGAATTTAAATGAGAATTATATGATAAAATTTTAAAACTTTTAAATTATAAAAAACTGAACATCTTTCAATATGAACCTCATACAAGACAAAAACATTTTGTATATTTGTTTCAGCTTAAATTTGACAGCAGAAATAAAGCTGCGAAACAGAATTACAGACCACAATTAGCTGGTCCAGTATTTTGTTATCCAGCATTGTGATGAATACAATACCTATGTTACAATTCTCCTTAATATATGTAGCTTTTACCTTTTTTTTTTTTTGCAGTCAGAGGAACACGATTCTGACAAGTGCTTGGCGTGATTAGGTCAAATCCAATGTATTTATACATATCACTGTATGTTATTGGTGCATCACAAATGAAGCACAGAAATATACTGGATGTTCACCTACAGGAATAGCATATCACTAGAAAACAGAACACTGCAACTGCAAATTCTTTTGTTATTGTTGTTATGGGTGGGAAAAAAACCACTGAAGCAATTCGACAATGTCCGACATCCCTGTTTGATTAGTGTCATGTGAACATCCCCGCAGAATAGTCACACATCTTATCTGAACTCCAGTCGGTGCTCATTTTCAGAATGCGTTGTATAGCTGTTCTTTCTGTGTAAGAAGATCTTGTCCTCTGCTTCCTCAGTCCAGAACAGTCATTGAGAAAAGAAACTTTGCTCCCTGGAAGACAGTGTGGACTATAGTTTATAATGAATCCACTAAACCAAGCAGCATTATCCCTGGAGAGGTGAATAGTTGTGTGACTTGGCCCACCTTGTTGCATTTTTTGTTTTGTTTGGGTTTTGAAAGTCATTTACTGCAACACATTGAGAAACAGGAGATAAACACAGTTAACTCAGCCATTCTCCCATGGTATTCTGCTTCTTCTTGCTGGGTCTTTCTTTCACATGCTCTATTTACTTCTTGGGTTCAAAGTTTTCCTCTCTGCTTTTTTTTTTAATCATGCTTCATTTGGTTTACTCGTCCTTGCACCTCCAGCCTTTGTTGTTTTCAGTCTTTAATGATGATCTTTCAGTTAAGAGCTCACCAAAGTGTAGATCATGCTGAATGTAAAAGAAAGACACAATATGAAAGTATCCTTTTGAAGCATACAGAGCCCTTTGATTTTTATAACCCTTTACTGTCTGTTCCTCAGGTCTGACTGTAACGGCCTGTGCTTTCCTTTGCATTCTTTCTCTCTCTCTAAAGCATCTTAATTATGGTGTATTCAAGATGGGTATCAAAAAGCATTCAAGAAATAACAAATTCATTATCGACAACACAAGCTGTGTTTGAGCTTATTAAAGTGCAGTCTGATGCCTGAATTTGAACAGCGAAGAAACAAAACCATTTTGCTTTAGTGTGTTTGATCTTTAAAACTTCAACCACCAACTCTGAGCAGGTCAGGCAAGGCTTCCCATGAAACTGCATTATTTTGTTTCCTTTGGAAAAAACTCCGTGCAGTAGAAGAAACATAAAAAGCAGGCACCAGCTGGAGTGAATCCATACATATTAAATGCAACTCTGAAAAGCAAAGAAATCTCAGTATATTGCCACGGCTCCATTTTACTGCAATTCTAATTCTGAAAATACCCAGGAAAACACAGCAAAATTGAATGTAATTAATACTATTTTATTTAGCAAAATTGAATGTAATTAATACTATTTTATTTAGCACCAGGCAGTGGATTTTGGCTTATGGCCACATTTTAGAATGAAGGAAGCAGGGCTCAGAGGAAGCTGCACAACAGCAGAGTCCCAGCAGAAATGCTAGATCACACTACACAGCTGACTTTGACAGGGTCTTTTAGGCAACACAAAAATGGGGGTTAAAAATGCTTCTCCCTCCAGCCATGCCTTGCCATCTCTCCTTGCACTACCAACAGAGCTTGTCTAGCATAACTGCCATGCTTCCACTCTCGGCCCCATGAAGAGGACTGGTGGGCAAAGGCGCTCAGCCCAAACCCACAAAGCTACCGGATGCTAAACTCCTGCTCGGATTCTCATGCCCCATCCATCTCAGTGTGAGTTAGGCATCTACCAGCTTCTGTGAGTCTGGGCCCTTCTACTTTCTTTCTCTCTCTCATGTATGCAGACACAGGCACATACACGTGGATATGTGGACAGAAAACTTTGTCGTCAACAATATTTAAAAGTAATATTGAGAAACAACAACCTGCAGAAATGACTCCTCAAGATATGGGGAACAACACAACAGATAACGGACCAGTGACAAAAGGAGAAACAACATTTATCTTCTTCCACTAGCATACAAACCTGCCTTACAGAGGGATTACTGTATGCAAGACTGGCTTGAAGAGGTACTCTATGCAAATACATTATGGAAGAAGGAGTAGAATAAAGGCATCATAAAACAGCACCTCCATTTAAAGTGTCTTAACCTTTGTGTCAAGTAGTTTTATGGTGTGATTACAAGGGTGACTAAAAGCACTAAAAGGGATTCTGCCAAGGCCTTACCTTAAATATGATCCTCACATATTCATGCACGGGGCATTTGTGACTGTGCACTAAGGACATCTGACAGCTGAAAGGGGCAGGGGCGATAACACACGACTGGGGTACATATCTTCAAGAATGTACTTAAATTAGGGGTTTGGACCACGCGCAGGCTTACCCTGTAATGAAAGGGAGGCTGTGGGAATGACTACAGGCATGGTGCACCCCACGTTCCTATCCACCATCTACCTACCCATTTACTTACCATCTTGAGCATCACTACACCAGTAGACGTAGTATTTTTCTTATGATTCTCTTGAATCATAAGAACATTATAATTTTTATTTGATGTAATGTCATTATCATAACATTTGCTATTTCACCCATCCTAAGAGACTAGGCAGAGGAGCAAAAATTTTTTCCTTGGGTTGGCCCTGGGGCCTGGCTCAGGCTTTAGATAAAATGCTTAATATTCTGTACTGAGGTGCCAGCAGATACAAGCACATGCTGCTGTAAGTGGGCATGCTTCCCTGAATCAAGATCAGAAGCAAGTTTTATAAGACTAAGGAAATAAGCCAATTGGTTCCAGTCATTCCTAAATACAATTTCACATGTCAAATGAAAAGCAGCTACTCTTTCCTTAGTGAAATGACCAGACTTACCAGTACAGATAGTAGAAGAAGGAAAGGAGATAGAAAGCTAGCTTACACCAGGCCTCTTTTTGACAGTAACTCAAAGTATCTGCATTCATGACTGCAGGTGGATCATACGCTAGCTCTGAACTATCTGCTGGGCAACGAAAATACCTGAAAGAGCAGGAGAAGACATCTAGAATGACTCTGTAACATTCTGTGTTAAATATGTGCAGATATATACCCTCCTGATCACCAGCTCAGAAGACAACCATCTTTCATGATATAGGAAGAATTTTCCTCTCTTTTTCAAGCCTCTATTTCCGGACGTTGTTAAAATCAGGACTGCTAGTCTAAGCAGACAGTTTTTATAGAACCAAGCAATTCATGAATGTGGACTTTCTGTGTTCTATTAATTCTTTAGATTGAAACATTCCCCCTTCCTATATAGTTATTTCTGGCTTACTCACTAATAAACTTACATATTGTGAGGGACAATACGTGGCGGCTTGTGATCAAAGCATGGAGGAAGGATTACTGGGCTTTAACTGCATCTACACAACTGATTTCAGACATGATGAAAGGCGACAGCCTCAACCAACTGATAGCTAAGTTCCTCCAACTCTGAAAAGGAAAAAAGTCAATACGGAGTAATAGAAGAGCTGGCTGACTAATGTTTTCTACATGTAGCACTGCTCAAAAATTTATCATCCAAATAATTTTAATTGGAAAATGTTTTTCTTCTTACATAGGAGAAATTTCTGATTATTCTCAGCAATGACTGGATGTTTGAGAAAATCCTGACCAAAGAACTTTTTTGGCAAATAAGCTTTTGTCTCAGCTACTTTGCAGTAAAAAGCAAAAGCAAACCAAAAAAAAGAAGTCCTCAACAAAGTTAATGAACTGCTTCAAGATCAGCACAAATCAGATGAAATATTGTTATTTCTGTTGCTTTGAAATAGCAATGTAACCACTGAAGATTGCTGGAATTGCTTATAGATAGATAGACAGACAGACAGATAGATATAAAACCCCCATACAAGTGACCAGCAGCAAACTTTGCAAGTAAATGTTCTCATAATAACCTTGCCTTCCTCCCTTCCTTCTTTCCAATATTAGTCACATCCACTTACAATCTCTAATAACACTGCAAATTCTTTTACAGAGACCACAGGTGAAACCTTGCTTAATCATCTTCATTGGGATGAAGATATTACACAGTATCTTCCCACGGTTTTGTGGGGAACTTTCACAATGAACCCAAACCTGTCTGTGGTTAGAACAGCAGAAATTATGGAGTAATTATAGCAAAGCATATGGAGAACCATGGAAACAAAGAAAATCAAAAGTTCTCTCTAAAGGTTGATATCATTATTTAGAGTCTGATCATTTTCACCTTGGACATAAAATAGAATTTTTTTTTTTTTTTTTTTTTTAACTTTTTAAACCAGTATTATTGTTACACTTTGGTTGTTAACCCTTAGTAAAACAGTGCCATAAAACACTATTATTTTTATTGCACCCAACCAATAGGGAGAAAAGCACTCGTAGCTTCACTCCATTTCTGAGAACTATACTGTGACTCTAACTTCTGAATAATACACTTTATCTATGACTCTGCATTACTACCAGCCTTTTGCAGAAAATAGTGTAAGAAAGCTACTACTTTTTAGTTCCTAGTTGAGATAATGGTTTTGCCTTCTTTACAGAATTATTCTTCAAGCTACTTCACAACAGGAGCTATCTGCTGCCATATGTATCTTCGTAACACAAAAGAGACCCTGACAGACAAAAATCATCTGTGCTTTTACAAACATTGTGGAAATGCAAAACTAGTGAAGACTCCAGACTGACAGCCACAAAAACTGATGTCTCTTCGTTATCTTCAGAGGCAACAGAAGGCTGATCCTCCACTAGAATGCAGAGGAAGGTGCAGCAGTAGCAGCTGCACTGCCTGTCCAGAAAACATTAAAGCTGCTCAACAGCAGGTCTTACACGATCAACTCTGAAAGCCCCTCAGTGAATATAAGCACACAGCAGAGATTCAGAGTGGAAACACTCCCCTCTTTTTCACATGGGCAGGGTGAAGACAACAGCTCTTCATTTACTGCAATCCCTACTCCAAGAGTCTCTAAGAGAGACTTCTCTTGCAGAACAGAAATTCTCTACTGTACAGCAAGAAACAGCTTATTTTATACTGCAAAAAACCCCATAAAGCTGCCAAAGAAGATGAGAAGCAAAATTCTGTCAACCTGCCCAGTCTCTATTTTACAACTCCAATGGAAAAGTTTCCTTGCTAGGGCTGAATGAATAGGTCCAAGATCTTTCAGATATGAACTGCCTTACAACTCCCTATCTGTGAAGTATTTAGAGCCTCACCAAGTTCTACTTTCACATTCCAGCCTATTTCATTTCCAAGTTTTCATTCAGTTGTGTGAGTACATCCTAACACCCTTTGGAATATTTATCTAAGTTAGTAACTGAAAGCCACATTTCTATTATTATATGTTTTCTTTACCCATTCTGAATGTCCAAGAAAAATATTTACTTTTTTCTGGAAACATAAGTTTCAGCTGCTTCTAGGCAAAAGCTTCTAGGCAAAAGATATTCAGCCATACCCCTATCACTGCACTTCATAGTTCATACAGCCTGCATGTGTGCTGAGTTGGCAAATAAAGCTAACAAGCAGTCAGCATATAGAAGATGGGCTTACCTCCAGAAGTGATAAAAAAGCAAAGGAACATTTAACCCCAGTGTGAGCCACTCTTGAGCACACAAAAACATTATGCAGAAAAGACTATGGATAGAGTACTCCGGCAACACCAGCTAAAAAGAAAGGAACAAAAATAACAGATGTCAGTAAAACATGCTTTGATTTTAGTCACCTAAGCAGTTTTTCAGAAAACAAACCGTATCTGCAAGTCTCCTGTGTGCCTCTGTCTGTCCCTAGACATAACTCAGTTGACAGACAGCTTGGCTAGGAGCAATGAGCACAAGACGCAGTGCCAGGTTTGTCCAGGTTCTCACCATGGCTGTATTCCAGGGGCTTGTTGAGAGGCACGGGACAAATCATTTACTGTCTTAGCTGGTGCTCCAGATTTCTGTCTACAAAATATAGATTATATTTACTGCCTCCCTCACAAGAAGCACTGTGAGACTAAATGAATGCCTGTAAAAGAGTTCTTAAAGAAGTAAGTTTCATTACTGATGCATTCAGAAAGGAAATAATAAAGCTATTACTGAAGCTTCACTTCTATATTGGAGGAGCATCCTTGAAAAAAGGCTGCTTCTACCATTTTGATACGTTATATACACCCTAAAGAGATCAAATCCATTACTCAGGCAGCATTGCGAGCTAAAACCCACTAAGACAAGAAACTCACTTTCTTAGTAAATCCACGGCTCCCCACACTACTTGTTTCAGACCCAAGATGATTCTTTCTATTAAAAGAGAAAGTGAGTGGGCAGCTGGCAGAAACAGAAATTTGTGTGATGTTGATTCAGAGTAGTTATTTCTAAAGGCATTTTGCTTTTTTCACTGCTTTCCCATTCCTTAGCTGGCTTTCCTCTCTTGTTTTCTTCCAATGCCTTTTCTAAGAAATCTCTATTTCTCTTCTTCATTCAAGTCACAGAAGAGATTAATTTTCCGCAGTATGTATTTCTCAAAGATAGACAATCCCATACGCACTTCATCTGCATCTCTTGCTGTGTTTTGGAGCCACACCAACCAAAGTTAAATCACAAAAAGCATTTGAGGGGCTTCTTTTGATGTGAATTTATTTTCATCTGTCAAATAATGAAAGTGAGCCCTACTTTTTTAAGCAATGTGAAACCTACTATACAGCTACTCCCAATGCCTACCTAATCCCATACAGCTGTGCTGCAATGAATTCCATCTTCTTGGTTCTAGGAATCTTTCCACCTCACATGGAACATTTTTTTTTTTTACTTTCATTTAACTTCGTTACTTAAAGTAGTTAACACATTTGGATATCTCTGTCTATGCCTTCAACTTCAACATTCTCAAAAGCTTATCTTATGTGGATGACAAATCATAATACAATTACATAGTTCAGATTCCAGATGGTAGTTATTTATCACTGCTGGATTTTTTTTTTTCCATTTTTAGAATGAAAAACATGATTTACAACATGACTATAACCTTTCCCCAAAGAATGATTCATTTTCATCACAAATTGCAGACAAGAAAGGTCTTCATGATGTACGTCTACCCACTAAACATCACAACACTTAAAAGCATATTATATTCGTTATGACATATTTGATTTCTGAATCCAACACAACCCACAAACTTAGCAAAAACACAACCCTGATGCCTGATCAGCGGGCTGGCTGGTAATAACAGGGAAGGAAACCCATGGTGAAAATTTATGCAGTGCATAAAAAACAAAACAAAACAAAAAATCTGCTGTGAAGCTAGAAAGGAAACAAAGGAAGCAGTGGACTCTCAGAAATGAACTCACTTTCCAGTCACAGTTTCTGGTGTAAATTAAATCTACCTATGCTTTTGATAGAACAACAAATGGGTCATTTATGTCTCTTCACCCTTTTCTTGGAGTGATACATTCCTGTGGACATAAATAAAACAGTTTCTGAAGAGAATTCATGCAAAGAAGCAAACAAAGCCCAGCCTGCAAGTCCACTTACAGTTTATATTCAGGCGATTTGCCTAAGAGACCAAATCTAAAAGGAGGTGAGAAAATTGAAAGCAGAAAGTGTCGAAAGGTACTAACAGCAAGGCTTGTGAGGAAAAGTAAATTGAATAGCTGAATAACTACATAACTAAAAAATAACATTGCCTCAGTTCTTGGCTGTAAGAATCATCCTGCAGTTTGACACAATGTCCTCTGAAACCAATGGAAACTTTCAATCAACTTTAGCAAACATGGGATTCAGCTCCTGGAGAGAAGAGAGCTGCTTGAGAAACAAGCAACAGTCAGTCCTTGTTGTTTCTGCTGAGGTAGTCAACCGCAATAGTAACTTCCGTGATACAGGTAGCTATGCAATAGGAATTAAACTAATGTCTTTAATTCATTTCTGGGAGAGCATATGAAGCTGTCAGATGGTAAACATGTTAGGATATAAACTGTATGGTAAATATGTTAGGATATAAACAGTAGGCTTCTATTTTGAACCAGGAACACCCTGATTCAGATAACGACCTCTGCTTTCTGCCACTGCTCAAGATGAAGTCTCAAGATGGTTATAGAACACAGAGTTGAAGGAGAAACTGGCAAAGCAGCACAGTTCTTAAGGGCTGCAACTTGGTCACTTTGAGTCCCAAGCTAATGAATGACATTACAAATTGATCACCAGAAATTCTGCTGGCTAACATTTACCTGTGAAAAACCACAGGAAAGCTTGAAAAGGAAGTCAGCTTCTAGACCAAATTGCTGCTAATCAGAAACACCTTTTGCTGTAACATAAGCAAGGGAAAGAAACTACTATACCTTTCTAAATTTTGCTCTGGTATGTATATTTAAGTAAATATACATATCAGTATATATTCAAAATCCTTATTGCCAATCCATCATTTGTATTTAAAATGTAAAATCTTAGATAGATATCATACTCATATCATTACCATCTCACCATAAATATTCAGTATGTCCTCATACAAAGTAGTACACACATACATGCACATGTAGAGAGATTCTTCCCCTCTTATTCCAAAGAAAATAAGGCAGGCTTTGCTGTGTATAGACATCTAGGTTTGGCTGAACTAAAGCATGGGAAAACAAGCACTGAAGCTAAGCACCTGTCAGCAGCTTCTTTGTGTTTATAGGAATACAAAGACCTCTGTAAATTGCAACTGCAGAAGGCCATCTCTCAGGAAGCTCAGTCCTAAATCATTTTACTCAGTTTCCTCTTTCCTAAATGTATTCTGTTGTTCTTACACAAAAGATAAACCCATCTTTTTCTGTCAGTAATTTTCCTCCTTATTCTGTTTATTACATACAGATACCTCCTTCTCAAATGTAATTTTGCTTTTACAAAACATTATATCATTTTTACATGGAATGACTCTTACAGTTTGTCTCGCCAGTGAACAGGGCACATAAAATATCTCACAGAAACGGAAACTGGGAAGATATTATAGCAGGAATAGTAATCTCCCTTCATCAGTGCTATTAAATTCTCATGCTTAGAAAATCAACTGTAACAAGTGAATCAAACTGGTTTCCCAGTCACTGTTAAGCCACTGAAATGTCAAGACCTCATGCTTCTTTCCAGCACTTTGCTTAGGACCAATACTGCTGAGTGCTACACAGTAATAGTAATTCTCACAGAATTGCTCTTTCTTCCCCCAAAAGACTCTGAGTCTACATCTGTGCAGGCAAGCCTCCATACTGTAACCACAGATTTTACACTGTACCCAGAAATTGCCAGCCATTAGACACTCTACCCTTCCCAGGGTTTCTGAGAGTCTTCATTATGCTGTTAGAGGCTGCGACAATTTCCCTTCTTAATGCCTGCCTTCTCCTCCCACAGATGGCAGGAAAAAAACTGAAGAGAAATGGAGGTTGAATCTCCTTCATGTAATGTAAGAGCTCTGATGATTACCCAAGTGGAAACAAGTTGTTCACCTTACAAACACACAAGCCCTTTCCATCACCTAAAAGCAACAAGAAACTGAAAACACCATGCATGCATGGAATCACTCCAGGGCCCCAAATTAGGCCTGATCTATGTGCATGCTGCTTTATCGCAGTGGTTAATGCTGCTGCACCCACTTCCACTAAAGGGTAGCTGCAGCTTGTCACTATGATGCTCACTTTGCTGCTTTTTTCCATATTCCTTGCTAAAGCTGACATGTAGAATTTGTCCTCATCAGTAGCTGAGAAAGAGGGGATGGAGATGTACCCAAGGTTTTCAGAACACAAGAGTTATTTTAATTAGACTTTAAAGCCCACCCTAATAGAGCCTGCCAGAGCTAGGGGAGTATCAGCTGCTTAACTAAAGACATTGTGAGACCAAAGGGAGATGATTATTTAATGACTCTGAAATTCTCCTAATTGAAGAACACAGACCACAAAAGCCAGAAGTGTAGTGCAAGCAAGTGAAAAAAAGAAAGCAGTAACACCCAGAAAAACAGCAGTAGCATGTGCATTAGTCCAGACTGTGCACATATGTGGAATGTACATACATTGAAACAAGTAATTTCTGTTTGCTCCTGCTGTTGCACAAACCAAAGAAGTAGGGTCAACTGTGTATAATTTAAATACACAGACCATACATCTTAACATTTGCAACAGTTTTAAACATACTGCTTGCATTGATCAGACACATGAAACACATTAAATTTACTGTTGAAATACAGGAAGGCTTCCCACTTACATTTTCTAGTGTATCTTTCTAATCTACTTTAAGTGATTTGAGTTACTTGACTTCCAAAACCTCCTCTGAAAGGCTGCCCTAGACCCAATACAATGCTGTCACAGCAAATATACCAAGATTTTCAGTCCAAATTTTCAGGTTCAATTTCTTTCAATTCTCCTGTTAAAATCCACACTTGGTTGTGTCTCTACAAGCTCTGTTCTCCAGTCGCTTACAGCAATCACTTAGAAATTCAGTTGTGTAGTTAAAATTGTTATAACACAGACCTACAACCAAAGCATTTTAAGTAATTCAAAACCATGTTATGCAAACCTCTAGAAGTATTTAGCAGTTTGCTATGTAGATGTATGCAACTAGCTGAAAAGAAAGTGTCTGGAAAATGCATTTCAGATCATCAAAAGAATAACCTGCAGCTGAACCTACTAAGTTCATATATACAGCTTTACATTTTATCTGGGGGAGAGCAA